CCGGCACACGGGCCCCGCTCTCCCCGCCTCTTCAGCGGGCCTGGAAGGAAGGCACTGCTGTGCTGACAGGACAAAAGGGTGCACCAGGCCTTAAGTAAGCGATTGTTCTTTCTGTGGTGGTGCCCATTTCTTAATATGGCTTTAATCAAAAGTGAAGCTGGATAACTTATAAATGATGCAGAATCATTAGCGATTAATGCATTGGGCAGGGCTTAAGTGTGGCATGCTGTTCCCAGTGAGCCCAGCAGGGTATTGGAGCATCTTGGCTTTACAGGAATGTTTTTAATAGTTGGCTTCAAGAGAGTACATTTTTTGGAGCCCTTGCACTCGTGGATCTTTATGGCAACAGCTCTGGCATGAAACTGCTCTGACCTCAGCTGCAGAGCAGGCTGGAAAACCTTAGGCTTAATGTGGGGATCATACGCAAAGCTTTCTATGGTGTGACCTTTGGAGGTCTTGTCAGAACGACTTTCAGTGAGGTCTCATCTTACATATCCTTGGGATTAAACATTGCCTCGTGAGCTTCTCTAGTTTTGACTTCTGAAACTTCTTGTCCTGTCTCTTCCTGTTAGGCATGCAAATCCCATGTGCTCAGAAATGTCTTCTATGCAGTTTGCTGAACTGCAGACTGACCAAGGGACACTCATTTTTCCAGTGAAGGACTGCAGCCTCGACACTTCCAGGTCTCACTGTCACACAGGTTCAGGTCTGCTTGCCTGGAGCCTGCACAAAGTGTGTTTACGATGCATGAGGTCTGAAGCACTGGCTAGCCATGTGTGCTGGGGCTCCACCGTGCCCCCATGTGCTCTTGCTCTCCCCTCTCTCTATTTGGGACGTTTGGGGATTGGCTCTGGGTGTAATAGCAGATCACGCTGGCTTTGACTATACTGTCTTTGCAGTTTGATACCAGGGTCGTATCCCCCCCGAGATGCCCTTCTGCCAGTAAGCAAAGGTCCCTACACATGGCCTGTGCAAGCTCTGGCTAAGTACAGTTCAAGCAATACTGTCAGCCCCGCGTGGACCCAGCAGCGTGGCCCGTGGATCAGTGTGGTGCCCTTGGTCTCAAATCACAGACTGACTCAGCCCCAGGGCCACATCTCAGCATCCCCAGCCTGAAAACCTGGGCTGGGCCAGGCTGGGGTCCCTGCAGAAGCCTAGAAAATTCTTGTGCAGAGCAGGGAGCCTGCTACAAGCTCCATCCACAGATTTTTGCGTCGCGGAGATGTCAGACCCTGCCTTTAATTTCCTCACATACGCTTAAAGGATGGGAAGTCCAACTGCCCACTTTGGGCATGTTCAGACCACTTCTCATTCTGTTAGATAGATATGAAAAAGCTACCTAATTTATTACTGTAGGTGTATCCTGTGAAGCACCAGGTCCTGTTCTTGTCCTGAGGGCAGCTGGCAGGGTCTGGTCACATCCATAGCACCAAGCTCACGAGTTCCAAAGAGGGGAGCACATCAGTGCTACCTACTAGGAATGGTTCATGGCTCATGCTAACTCCTGAGCCATGCCCAAGAGTGGTTTGGGCACATGCTGGCTGGGTCAGACCAAAGCAATGCCCAGGACCAGTCTCCACCACTGGATTCCTGGGCTGTTCCTGACCTCATTATGTTTGCTAGCATACTGGTAGCCTTGAACAACTGTTCTTCTTATGCCTGAAGGGTAGCAGAAATATTGCAGCCCCCCGACACACACACACACACACACGTTGCAGTGCTTCTGCCTGGCACAGTGCAGGGGAGTGGTTATTTGCTGGCTGACAGGGTGCTGTCTACAGCTCAGCTGTTAGTTGTGCAACTCACTTGCATGCTGGCCGTGGCTGGAGTGGAAAACCAGACCACCTCTGTGGGGAGCTCAGCTCCTGTGAGCGCAGAATACACACGCCCCAGTCACTGGCCAGGTCTGGGGAGCGCAACTTCATTCAGCCTGTTTTGCTGTTGGCTTGTGGGAGACCAGGATGTGCGGATAAGGACACGTCTGAGACTCCCTCTCACAGGTTAGAGTGATGAACCAGAGTCCCAGTGGCAAAACTCTGAGGAGACCCACTCTTCGTGGGATAAAGAATATTCGAGTGTATCTCTGAATCCTTTCCGGTTTTCCAGCCTCGTGTTCTGGAAGAGAGGGCGCAGCATCCTGTGATGTCCTTGTTCGTGTTGTCTCCAGTGTCTGTGTCTCCTGGTGATGCAGCAGGCTTCTGTTGGGGATGCACTCAGTCCCAGTGTCTCTCTGAGAATGTATTTTCTGGGCTCTGTGGGTGACCCTTCTATCTGTCTTAGTCACCCATGGCCAACTACAAACCTGCATTTCTCAGAGTGGGAATCACAGCTTTATCTTGGTTGGATCTGTCATGGAGCTGGGTATATTCAAATGTGAATGAATGCATTTAAGTAGCTGACCTGCAGAAATGACCTTTCCTTGTCACTTTTAACTGTGGTTGGTGGTGGTGTCTACAGTTGTCTTTTTTCCTTGTTCTCAGGTGCCCTCTGGGGCTCTTTTTCTATCTATATAAATCACAGCATTGAACTTGTGCTACACAAGCAGCTTGTAGAAGGACACTGTCTTGTTTACAGGGAGAGAGGACGCACGAACAGCAGCCTCAGTGTCTTTCTTCATGTGCTCCTGTGTCTAATTTCCAGATAAAATTTGGCTTTGTGTGCAGGTCTGTGTACCTGTGTAGGATCTTGCCATGCTCTTAGCACTGTGAATCTCAAAATGGTGATGGTGCAGACCATGGGTCAGTCAGGCCAGCCTTCCGAAGGATAGCAATGGCTGAGTGTTGCTGCCAGCTTTGCAGCCGATGGCATTGCACTGCTGGGAAAGTCAGCTCTGCTTTCTGCACTGGGCTTTCCTCCCCACTCTAGAGCAGGGAGTAATGCCAGGCGGAGGAGATGGCCAGATTGAGTTGCATAGTGTGTTTATTCCAAGCTGCCCCATTTTTCTGTCACAGTTGATATATAAATACTGTGTCTGCGCTGCTTCCTACGCAGTTCTGGGTGGTGTGCCAGGCATTTGTGATGTGCGCATCCACGGGGCAGCCCCAGAGCTTAGAGGAGCCTGATTTTACCATCACAGTCTTGGCTGAAGAATTGCATTAATGTAGGATTTGTTTGGACTTTCTGGACCCTACAGAAACACAGAACTTCCCTGCCAAGAATCTACTCTGTGCCCAGGCTGAGCAGGAGCATGTCATGCCAGACAGCCCTGCTTCTGCTGGAGCTGAATGAAGTAAACTTTCCAACAGCTGAACGTCTGAGCAGCAGTGAGGGTACCTCAGCTCTGCAAGCAGATGCCCTCGCGAAGAGCTGATGTGAATGTCATTCTCCTCTCTGATAGCAGGGTCTCTGTGGTGCTCTGAGACAGGCTGCAGGGACTTTTCCTGTGATTTTGAGCTGCAGGGAGAGGTTAAATTGCCATGACAGTGTCTTAAACTCTGTAATTCTTTTTTTCTCAGGACAGGCCTTCATGCATTTCCCATTTCGATGTCTGCAAGGTGGAAGGAGCCTACTGGGAGCCCTTCGTGTCTTTAGCTGGGTCTGGCAGCCTGGGCACGTGGTCAGCACTGCTAACCCCTTTTATGTGGAACATGTATTATGAGCAATGGGCTATGTCTGCCACTGCAAGCAAGCCCTTTAGAGAAGAGCCAGTCAGATGCCTCGCGAGTTGTCCTCCTTCCCCACTGTAGGACACTGCAGAGGGCGAGGTGTGCAGTGAGCACATTTCTCACCGACAGCCAGGCAGGGAGGAGTCCTGACCAGCGAGCAAAGAGTGCCAAAGCTAACGGGTGCCACAGAGGGGTAGCTGCACAGGCGGGGGGAGCTCTGGGCCTGCGCTCTGTCCCCGCCCCCCCCCCCCCCCCCCCAGTGGGCAGCTGCCCCGCTAGCCCGCTAAGCACCATGCCGTGCATGTGCTGCTGCTGGCAGGGGCTCAGCCTGGTGCACCTGCTGTGCCGCTTTTCTCCTGGGGACAGATTCACCGGAGAAGCTGCTCCCTGTAGCCTTGGCCAAGGTGCTGCCACAGGCAGATGGAGAGGCCCCCCGTGGTGGTGTGCAGGGGCGAGTTCCTGTTCTGAGACATCTTCTTTTGTCTCTTTCCTGTGCCTTGCCTCGGTCCATCCCTGGCTCACCCAGACAGGCCACCGTCCCCTGTCAACGTGACTGTGACGCAGCTGAAGGCAAACTCTGCCACAGTCTCCTGGGACGTCCCAGAAGGAGACGTGGTCATCGGCTATGCCATCTTACAGCAGGTATCCAGGCTATGTCCCCAGGGGGCTGGGGACCCCTCTCACTGATTACCAGCATGCTCCTCTGTCAAGCCCTTTTGCCGCAGTTTGGAGCTCCTCTGGCACCTGCCTGAGGACACCTCTGCTGTTGAGCAGCCCTTGCCAGGGCACCCTGTCTGAGCCATCCATCCTGGTGGGAGGCAGCAGACTGTGGGCTGCGCTGGGGGTAGCTGTCCCTCCAGCGCCTTCCCTGCGATTTCTCTGGATAAGGATGGTGCTTCCGCCATGACATAACCCTTCTTTGCTTGCCTCGCTCTGCCTCCACAGCCCCAGACGATGGTGGCTTCTCCAGGGAGGCACCTGGCTCTCAGGCCACACTGGGATGCTGCATAGCAAAGTGCTGGCCAGCCTGGCCCCCCCCAGGGGTGGAGGATTGCCCGGGAAGGGAGGAGTAAGGGCAGTGTGCCCAGCACAGCCCTGAGGACAGGGGCCTGTGCCTGGTGCAGCTGGGAACAGCCTCCTGGGGATGACAGCTCTTCACTCTGGCAGCGGCAAGATGGACAGATGCAGCGCTTCATCCGGGAGGTGAACACCACCAACCGGGCCTGCGTGCTGTGGGACTTGGCGGAGGATGCTGATTACATCATCCAGGTGCAAAGCATCGGCCTGTATGGGGAAAGCCAGGCCAGTAAGCGTGTCCACTTCCGCACCCTGAAGGAGACCGACCGCCTCTCTTCCAACAGCTCCAACCAAGGTGAGGCAGCTCCTTCCAGCTCGCCCGGGTGCTGCTGGTGGGGCTGCTGGTGCTGCTGGTGTAGCTGGGTGCTGCTGGTGGGGCCGCACCTGGAGGTCTCCACAGCACGTGGGCAGGGATCCAGCAGCCAGCAAGGAAGGTGCTGTCCTGAGCAGCAGGCTGCTTGGCACACACAGGGTCGTAATGGGTAGCGGGGTTGTACAGGCTGCTGTCGCATCCACTGTGGCCATGATAATGTCCCCAAGCCCTGGTTTATGGCCCTTCTATCCCAGGTCTTGGCACCCTATTCAGCTAAGCAGGCTGTGGCCAGGACAACTGCTGTGGCCTGCTCAGCTGCTGCCCATAGGAAGCAAATATTGAACAGGCTCGTGGATCTCCCAGCCTGCAAGCTACCAAAGGACAAATGACAGAGCCCCACAGTCTCCTTTCCTACGCATATCCATGTTGTGCCTTCTTGCCTTGAGGTTGCCTACATGCTGGTCCATGAGAGATGATCCAAGAATCCAGGAGAGATGATGCCCGGAGGGGGTCCACTGGTCATGGAGGCTGTCTCCAGCTTTAGCCATAAGAGGGGGACTTGAAAAGAGTATAACAGGGCAAGCAAGCAGATGGCTTACTTTCCTCAGAACTTTGTGTTCAACTTGGGGCCTTCCTAACCTGCCCTGGTCCTACACAGGGAGTAACCTCACTGATCTCTCCCATCCATCGTGCAGTCCCTACTTCAACTCAAACAAGCTGTTAGAATCCCTGACTGCCTTTGGTAGCAAGGATGGTTTATCTGACACAGGAAAGCTACAGGCTGCGTGTCCTCTCCCCAGCCAAGATGTCATCCCACACCTGTCCTTGTTTGGGGGAGGTGGGCCTCTCTCCTCTGGAGCCCCTTCTCAGATCCTTGAGTGTTGCTGGGTCCTGAAGTAGGTTCTGGTGGGAGGGTATCTGCTGCCAGCCCTGTCTGGGTTCTCTTCGCTGCAGGTGACATCACCATGGAAGGGCTGGACAAGGACAGGCAGCTGCAGACAGGCGAGATTATCATCATTGTGGCTGTGCTGCTCATGTGGGCAGGTGAGTGCCACAAGCAACCTTCCAGCAGGCTGGGGCAGAGGTGCAGTCCAGGGTCCACAAAGAGGATGGGGCTCAAGAGAGTGCAGAGGCATATTGGTATGGGTCTGGCATCCTTTCCAGTAAGTCCCTTGAGTCTGTAGGAGCTCGAGCCAAGTGGGGTAAAAGGCTGGAAACACTTTAAAAAAAACAACAGCCACTGCTCAGCAGTGATGGCCTGGAGCACGTGGGCTGGCTGGCCTGACTGCTGTGCTGGAAGAGCAGGAGACAATGTAGGACCCAAGCAATACAGAATTACAGGGTGGGAGCATCCAGGCTGACATTAACTATCATGTAACTTGGGCCTTAGCTAGCTTGTCTGACATCTGGTAACATTGCTGCACTGGCTGGTAGCAGCTGTGCCTCAATCTGCTGAAACTCTAGGATGAGTGATTTGCTCCTGTACGGCACCTGATTAAAGCCAGTGCTCTAGCAAACGGCAGGTTGCCCTGGGAGCAAGGGAGCCTAGGAGACAACAGCTCCTGACTGGTCACATGCAGCTGCTGTGAATGGGAAGTCATTCATCCCCTACTCCCTTCCCAGTAAATGTGGATCCTAGTGGCATCTGGCAGGAATCTCTCCTTGCCCTGGCCTTGAACACTTTTCTAGTGCACTGGAAGAAAATACAAGATGGCTGCTACTAGCTACACCTCATGCAGGTTGGTGTGTCCAAGTGCCAACAGGGAGAGATCAGGTCCAGTGTGCAGGCGGCCGTGGTAACGCACTGTGGTTTGAATGGGTCCAACACATCTAATGGTTACTGTTCAAAGCGTTGCTCCAGAGTCCTGTGTCCAGGGTCCCAAGGTGCAGGACGTGCTGCGTGAGATGGGTGCTGTAAAACCATGACAGTGACTGACCCCACAGTCGGTTTGCAAGACAGGACAAAGCCAAGGGCTGGCTTTTGTGAGGGTCGCAAGCACTGCAGCGATACCTTCAGTGCCTCGCTGGAGGCACTCAGAAACCCACTCAGCTGCTCGCTGACCTCAGGGGCTGTCCCTCTCCGAGTGCCTCACCGTCTGCCTTTGGCCCCAGAGCCCTGAGCCGTAGGCACTGGGCACCTCACGCGTGCCCTGATGGCTGTAGCTGCATCCAAGCCTCATCTGCCCGAGGAGACCGGCCAGGTCGCACATGCGGAGGTGCCTGGGGTGGTCCAGGCTGACAGGTGGAGGGTGTGGGTGAGCAGCGCGCCGGGGTGCCCTGGCCCTGACTGCTCTCCAGCTGGGATGCTGTGGGGAGGGGAGGCAGGGAGCAGCCAGTGTGAGGGAGTCCTTCATCCCCTGTCTTTCGGCAGCGGTGATTGCGCTCTTCTGCAGACAGTATGACATCATCAAGGACAACGACTCCAACAACAACAAGGAAAAGACAAAGCCGTCCTCGGAGCACAGCACACCAGAGCGACCGAGCGGAGGGCTGCTGCGGAGCAAGGTGAGCGGGGAGGGCTGGCAGGAGGGATGGCATACGACGTTTTGTCAAGCACTGGAGCAGGGCCCGGGGAAGTGGTGGAGTCCCCATCCCTGGAGGTATTTAAAAGATGTGTAGGTGCGGCACTTAGGGATATGGTTTAGTGGTGGACTTAGCAGTGTTAGGTTAACGTGGACTTGATGATCTTAATGGTCTTTTCCAACCTAAATGATTCTGTGATTGTATCTGCTGTGGCTTGCTGCCTGGACAGGTTCAGGCTCTCTTCAGAAACAGAAACACCCCAGCTCATGCTCTTACCCTTAAAACTGAGGGTTTTTAGGGTGCAGTGAGGCCGGGTCCCTCTGGGGCGGTGTGTGTGCCTCATGGGTGATTGCAGGAGAAGCATTGGAAGAGACAGCAGGATATATCAGCTGGGATGGCTCCCACGTTGCAGGCACCCGTCCTCTCACTGTAACAGCCCCTTCACTGTGCCCCTCCAAGGCTGCGTGTCTTCTGCGTCCCATAGACAGGTCTAGCTCCTGCCTGTTCAGGCAGGAGGCAGGCAAGCTGGGCAGCTGTTCTTATGGTTCCTGCACTGGTCTATCGCTGCTTGCTTTCTGCCTTCACTGGGGCCTGCTCCAGGCCATCACCGCACAAGTCGTTCATGGGAAGGACCCCAGAGCCCCTTCCCCGCCATAATGGAGTTACTGAGCCAGGCTGTGGATGGGGAGGGAGCAGTGCTTTCATCTGGCTGTTTCCTCAGCACCTGACACTTCTCCCTTTGTTACCTGACAAAGACAGTGATCTATAATCTTGATGCGCATGCTCTAACAGGACCTTGCCTTAGATTTTCCCTTGCGTCTCATCTGCCGCCTCTATCAATGGTGGGAACTACTCACTGTGTTGCCTAACTGCCCCTCTGCTTCCGTATCTTGGTTTCCAGTGGATGTCAGGAACAGCAACTTCCTGTTTAGACTTCAAGGCCCTAGTTCTCCTCCTCCAGATTTTCCAGCTTCCTGATTACTCCTTGCCAAAAAGATCCCTCTTCTTGGATCCCTGCTCCAAACTGACCCTGCTCACATAGGGCTGCAATGGCAGGTGCAAAGGTGTGTTCCTGCTGCTTGCAAAGTGCACCTGTACAGGTCTGCTGCACCTCAGTTTGTCTTCTTGCATGCACCATACTTTTGGCATCCTTGCAGGTGACAACACTGCAAGTTTATTCTTGCAGTCCTTAATTACAAAGCTGGGAACAAGGTATGGGAGAGAAGCAGCTCTGCATTCGCTTCCCCTCCTGGCTTCAGGGCCAAGCTAGTGTCAAGTAGCAGACAACGGTGCAGCTCTTGATCTGAGCCCTGTTATAAAGTGTGGTCGTGGGGACACTCGCCTTCTGCGCCCTTCTTCAGTGTGAAAGGGCTGAGCTACAAAACACGTGCAGCAACCAGGACCCCTGCCCTTCTCAGCACCTTCTCCAAATTCACATATCTGCTGTGTTCTTCAATGAGTACATTCCTTTTAGTGTAAAGGAAAGTGCCTGCTCATGCTCGCAACAGTTTTTGAGAAAATCTACCTCGCCACCTGCAGCCTTTAGTTCCCTCGGCACACACCAGAGCTGTCATGAGGGGCATGGCAGTGAGACGTGCCTGGCACTCAGCAGGCCTCATGTCCCTCCACGCCAGTCATCCCATGCTTTGTGGATTCTCTCCCCCATGGCACATGTCCTCCTACGCCCTCACTTACCTTTTCTGCTCTGGCCCTGCACCTACCTCCTGTCCAGTGGCATCAGGTGTAGCGTGGCTACCGCTCGGGACCAGGCAGAAGTCACCAGACATCTGCAAGCCTGAAAGGAGGGTGTAGTGAGGTGGGGGTCGGGCTCTTCTCCCAAGTAGTTAGCGATAGGACAAGAGGAAATGGGCTCAAGCTGTACCAGGGGAGGTTTAGGTTGGAAATTAGGAAAAATTTCTTCACAGAAAGGGTGGTCAGGCATTGGAACAGGCTGCCGAGAGAGGTGGTGGAGTCCCCATCCCTGGAGGGGTTCAAAAAACGGGCAGAGGTGGCACTTGGGGACATGGTTCAGTCTGGTCTACCCTTGACTGGTTTAGTGTGGACTTGGCAGTGTAGGTGAATGGTTGGACTGGATGATCTTAAAGGGCTTTTCCAACCTGAACGATTCCATGATTCTACGATTCTAAGCCCTGGAGGCTGAAGGGTGTGGGGCAGGGGGCACTGGTTTACCCAGGAGTACCGGGGCACAGTGGTGGGCAGGAAGGCTTCCTGGGGAGGCAGGTTTGTGGTTGAAGGGACTCACCTGGAGGGAGGCGGCAGGCGGTGCAGCTGAGCTACCTGAACCGTTCTGCCAGGAGAGCACATCAGTGCAGAAGGCTGGGGTTCCAGGGTTAGCTCCCCTGGTCTTGTGAGGGAGACGCTGAAGCCGGGCGTCTGCCGCAGCTCACCCGCACCTCGGCGCGGGGCAGAGGGCTCAGCTGCAGCCGGCAGCCCCGTAGCAGAGCTCTGCTGGTCTTAGTGCCTGCTGTGGGAGGTTGGGGGCTCTGTGGCGGGGTCTGCAAAGCAGGGCCTTAAAGCAGATTTTTCTCTCATAGAAGAAGTCTCCCTCAGTCAATATAATCGAGGTGTAAGTGCAGCACCAGCTCTGCGTCTGGGGTCCTGGGCGTCCTGCCAGAGCCAAAGCAGGCCTTGGAAGAAGAGGCAGCACCAGGCGCCCAGCCTGGAACTCTGCATGCGAAGATCCATGTATCAGAACTTACGCTTTCCCGAGGGCACCTGTCCAGGGATGTGCATGGAGCTGGCTCCCAGCCGTGCATGCAGTGCGCGGCCCTGCCCATCCTGCATGCCTGGCCTCACTCCCCTGCCGCTGCAGAGCACGGAGCTGAGAAAGAGTAGGGGGGCCACACCGCCAGCCCAGGGCGGCACGCCTAGGGAAGCAGAGGGGCTGGTGCGCTGGCTTGAGGGGAGGGCGGGAGCTGCTCCCCTTTTGGCCCCGAGACTGAGGGCATGGGGCAGTGCAGGCATTGGCCCCAGCGCTGCCAGGGAGGTTGCGGACGGGTGGCAGGAGGGTTCGTCTGTGGGCCTGGGCCCAGCTAGCACAGCTGAAGAGTGGATCCCTGCTGCAGAACGGGGCTCCACCGCACCCCATCATTGCCGTGCAGGGGCTTCAAGGTCTCTCCCCGCTGCAGGGGACAGAGACACAAATGAGCACAAGGAGCTAGTGCTGCCACAGTGCCTGGCCTGCCTGCAGAGCGTGCAGTCAGGGCAGGGAGTGCTGGTAGGAGCCGTTCTGTGGGAGGTGGTGCGAGCCCCACAGAGCTACGGGAGCAGGCAGCGCCAGGGCATGGCTGTGCCTTTGCCGTTTCCCTGGTAGGGCTCAGTCCTGACACATTCAAGCTGTTTGTGGGGGAGCTGCTGAGCACCCCGTGAGCACTGCGATGCCTTTGCTGCCTGGAGATCCTACATATGGTGAGGCCCAGCAAGGTCTCAGCGGGCTCAGCAGGGTGTGCGCTGCAGAGCTCGTTACCGCTCCGGGGTCCACCCCAGCTTCAGCAGTGTCACGGCCCACTCCTGACTCCTGTCCTGCGGGGGTATGGTCACTGCTGATGCTTCTGCTCCTGGTCCCACGGTCTGCACCAGGCTGGCTGATGTCGCACGCTTGTTGGAAAGGGCTGTCCCTGAACGCCCAGAGCTGGTGGACTGCCAGCTCGCTGTTACCTGCCCAGTCTGCCTGCTGATGCGAGGACAACGTGAGCCATTGACCACCCTGGGGCGGGTGAAGAAGCGACGTCTGGACTGTGCTTGTTTGCTCCCCGGAGCCTGCAGGCAGGAGTCTCTCACGGGGTAACTGGACTGCTCCGTGTCTGGGGCTGAGGCCGGGCGCAGGCATGCCCTCTTGCTGGCGGTAGGAGGGAACAGGGTGATACGAGGAGGCTCTCTGCTGCAGAGGTGGCAGCTGGTGCCCTGGCTGCTGCTCTCCCTCCATGCTCTGCTCTGCGGCCTGTCACTGAGCTGGGGTGCTGGCTTTGCAGCCCTGGACTCAAGCATTACAGGATCCAGCGTCTTCCAGGAATAAACATCCCGGTAAAGCACTTTCAGGACTCTTCCTTCCAGGTGCTGCTCAGCTCCTGCTGCAGGACTAGGTGGGGAAGGGACAGGATAAGCTACTCCCTGTGGCAGGGTCTTTTCAATAAAAGCATCCTGGCTCAAAGGCAGTGTTGTCCCTGCAGAGTTGCAGCTCGAGGGGGGTGTGTGTGGGGTTGTGGTGGGTGTCATCGTGTGTGTGTGTGTATGCGTGTGTTGTGTGCACGGGTACTGGCACTTCTTGAACACGTGTGGCCTTAGGAGAGCTGTTCTTGCATGCTGTGCAAGAGCCACAGGTCATCTTGCACACCTCTCCGGCCCTCGAGGCAGTGCCAGCGCTGCATGCTGGGCCATGCCATGCTGCTGGACAAGTTGCAGTTACGGACTGTCCCACTGGGGATGGCATCACAGCTGCTTTCTCTGCACAAACACAACAGGCTGCAGCGAGCAGAGACACCCTGGCAGCAGGGCCAGGAAGGAGGATGAGGCCAGATCCCAGCAGGCTGGAGGGGGCTGTGCTGCTCCCCGGTCAGGTGAGGAGGGGGGTACCTGAGCAGCAAAGTCACCATGCTGGTGGGTTGCAGGTGCTGCTGTGCTGTAACTTGGGCTGCAGGGAGCGTGGCCATCGCTTCAGAGACAAAAACGATCCTGTTTTGCCAGCTAACTTGGTTTTTAGGGAGGTACATTAAAAATATTAGGGCTGTCAGACAAGGGTTTTTAAAAAGCTCTGGTGCCCTGGAAAATGTTCAGAGGTGCTATCCTGGAGGGTCAGAGCAGACACATGCCTACCACCATGAATTCTTTAACCAGACCAGAAGCGCACACAAAGAAACAAAGGAGCATGACTGTGCAGCAGAGTCAAAGAGCTGGGGGAGGCACCAAAAAAAAAAAAAAAAAAGTACATCAAAATGCAGTGGTTGTGGCTAAATAAAAAAAAAAAGCACAAAAGTCCGTCACATTAAATGTAAAATCAGGGTGGTGTTGAGGCAAAAAAAGACATTTTTTTTTTTAAAAAGAACCCCCCCACAAACCAAACCCCAAGCCACTCCTGTCTCAGACCACAGCAATGCAGGAAGGCAGGGAGCTGCAGAGATGAGTGCTGCACAGGAAAGGCAGCAGCAATGTTGGGCAAAGGTATTTTCTGAGGAATGTACCCTGTGAATGCGTCTGGCAGCACT